CAGGTTCTTGATGATATTGGGTAAGGTTAAAGTTTGTAAATTTTATGAGTTTTGGTGTGTATTTTTGTCTTATGATTTATGGTATCTGTTGTTGTTTGATAGGAATGTTTGCAAGTAGAGAAAGGAAGCACCTTTTATGACTTTCAGTTCAATACGAGGCTTGTCAAGTCCACAATTGTACATTTTCAGGTAGAGAATTTGCTCAAAATATGTTTTGCAATCTGTGGCATACTCTGTTATTATCCATGTTTGGTCTCTTATCATCATGCTTAAGTTATCTAGTTCGAGGAAGATCATTTATGAAATGAAATGTCAGAGAATTTAGAAATTGACGAGAGATGTTGTTTCAATCTCTACCTTATGGTCTACATATTCTCACGCCTTATCGTTCCACGAAAATAACAGTTCTAAACTTATTTTGGAAGATGTACCGCATAGTGTATCTGTTTCATTCTCTGTTCATAGGATTTTCGATGACTGTTCCTGTTTTCGTATGTTCATTTGTTGATTTGTTCCCACCTCAGTTCTGAAGCTGGGGTGTTGATTCACACACAGTACTTTTCTTTTGCAGATAATCTTCCAAGGGTGCTTAATTTAAATCTGCTCATTTCTAACTTGTCGAAATATATAATAATTTTAGTTTCAATGTTTACTCGGGTACAAATGCTGTGTCATGTTCTAACTGATTCGGGAAAAAAGAGTGTCAAGATATGTGTCTAGGATGGTCGAAGCAGAATCGAGAAACCTAACTAGTCCAAACAATTTGTTAACAGCTTAGTAGACTTTCATACGCGCATCAAAACCATAGTCACAGAGTGTATTAAGTTCCCTTGCATATCGCATTAGTGGTGCTCAGTCATGTCCATTGTTATACTAACTGTGCTCATAATCGCCACAGAGTCTACTGATGCATTTTGAGAAACAGTTACTATATGTTTTGTAACATTTCTTAAGCAGGTTCGGAGAGGAGCTGGCGCCATAAGGAAACCTTTGTTAATATGGTATGATAGGAAATGTATATGCACATCCACCAAGGACTCTCTAACCTTTTGTCATCATTTTTTTTCTTACAGGGATTCTTTTGTTTGATCTTTGCATATGAGTGATGATCTGCATCTTTCATGATACCTTGCTCTTGTGCGTATTATTTCTTCTAGTTTTGGCACCGTAGGGTTTCATGTCTTTAAACAACTTGACGCTAAGATTTGAGATATTTTAGGCATTGTATTTTGGTTGTAACACCTGTTTTGTGTCCTTCTTGGCTTGTGTTTTGTGTGAGAAATTACATGTTTTTTTTTGTGTAAGATGACTTGTTATGTCTTGTGTGATTCCTAATCTCTATGGTTTTCATTTTTCAGCTGAGAAACTTGCTGTGGGCAACATCGAAGCACGATGTGTATTTCATGAAGAACTACTCTCTCACACATTGGTCATCTTTGCTGCAAAGAGGCAAAGAAGTACTTAATGTTGCTAGGCCCATTGTTCCTACAATGGTGAGCAGCAACCTTTACTTCTTTATATCACTTAGTTCATGAACCTTGTAGTTATTCAGCTAAAACTAAAGTTGGTAATTCGATCTTCAGACGCAGCATGGATTGTTGTCGCGGTCTCTATCAAGAGTCCAGATAAGCACCATGGCGGTGAAAGACGATTTAATAGTTGCGGGAGGGTTCCAAGGGGAGCTTATCTGTAAGGTAGTTAAACACACTTCGGTTATTTCCAATGATGTATAATATTTGTGTATTTGGATTCTCACTCGCTCGTGATCTCTCGATTCTAGAAAATCAACGAACCTGGTGTTGCTTTCTGTACCAAACTATCGTCAGCTGATAATGACATCACTAATGCAGTTGACATATTCAACGCACCAAGGTAATGAACCATGAC